AAAAAAATGGTGCGGTTTATAGCAAAATATCTTCCAGTGGGAAAACTACAGTATTTTTGATTGAAGTACCCTAAAAACTTTTCGATGTACCCTGGAATCCTTTCCCTGATGTACCCTTTCCCTGATGTACCCGGTGACGTTTCCGATCGCTCGCCTCTGTATTTTATCTGTCGTTGTTCAAAAACATTTTTCATGTAAAAATGTGGGTTTTTTTCTCAAAAATGTGTCTTTCACTTTGATTTTTGTGTTTGAATCCCAAAAAATTGTTCGAAATTCACATGGAAGAGTTTCCAGAATTTTCTAGGCCAGCGGATGCAACGGCTCTTTGTCGATTTACGGGACATCTTTTTTTATTTTTGCTCCGATTTTCTAGATTTTTACCGTTTTTCGTAATTTTTTTGCAGAATTTTTCGGAAAAATTAATTTTCATGAATTTTTTCATCTGGTCTATCGTTTTGACGGAAAAAAAAAATCCTGTTTCGGCTTTAAAAATTCCATAAATGAATATACGACTGAACATTAAGACCTGAATCACTGCGACAGTTCAGAAATTATTTATTTTTTGCAAACTTCTGCAGAAAAAAATTACAAAAAACGGTCGAAAATCGTTGAAAATCGAGAAAATCGAAGCGAAAATAAAAAAAGGAGTCTCGTAAATCGACACAGAGCCGTTGCATCCGCTGGCCTAGAAAATTCTGGAAACTCTTCCATGTGAATTTCAAACAATTGTTTGGGATTCAAACACAAAAATCGAAGTGAAACCCACATTTTTGAGAAAAAACCACATTTTTTACATGAAAAAAGTTTTTGAACAACGACAGATAAAATACAGAGGCGAGCGATCGGAAACGTCATCGGAAAGATTTTGATTTTGACACTCGCCGAAAAATAGGACAGCGAAAAAACTAAAAGTAGATGAATTTCAGTCATAATTTTCAGAAGTTTCTACTAGACAGTGCTTTAGAAACCACCGAAGATATGTACGGGTTGTGGTGGTTGAAGCGAAAATTGGCAAAGTGGTCTATTGGTGTGTGTGCGTGCACGGAAACCTGCAGTCGCGAGTTCAAGTTCGACCAGATCCAAATGTTCTGTTTTTGTGTACTTGAAAACAAATTTCATTTCGTAGTCTTTTTAACGGTTTTGTATCTTTGTGTTTCCGAAAAATCCGAAGAGTTTGAAAGAATTTGGATTTTTTTCAAATTTATAATGCTTCTTGTCCTGGCACATTTGAAATGTGTCTTTGGTTGAAAGTTCGTTCTGATAAATATCGAGTTTTCGACTTGTTTCCTGGCCAATTTTATTGCCAATTTCAGTATAATAAGCTCCTTCAAAAAACTTCAAAAAATCTATCAATCCATGAAACTACAAAAAATGGTAATTTTCAAATAAATACAGACAAAAAACAAAAAAAAAATGGTGCGGTTTATAGCAAAAAATCTTCCAGTGGAAAACTACAGTATTTTTGATTGAAGTACCCTAAGAACTTTTCGATGTACCCTGGGATCCTTTCCCTGATGTACCCTTAGAACCACCATGAGATGTACCCCTTGAACCTACCTCCCAGATGTACCCTAAGATCTGATGTACCCTCTGATCCAATGTACCCTAAGATCTCGATGTACCCTCGATGTACCCTTTTCTGTTGTACCCTTGGATACTGGGCCTTCCGCGCAAGAGAAACTTTTTAAATGAAACTTTTTGCATGTGCCTTTGACAGACATACCGTAGTTCGAAAATCTACGATTTTTGATAAAATTTTCTGATCTAAACTCAATTCTAAAAATAATCTTCACAAATATGCTTATAAGAACAAGAGAACCGAAAAAAAATTCCAGAAAATATCAGAATTTTTTAATAATCCCAACTTTCAAAACCATCGACTCCCGGTCCCTCTTTCTAATTTTTTTTAGAAATAGTTTGAATTTTGATATAAAGTTCAAATTAGCTTCGAACTCCAACCAAGCGACAAATCAGGTACTACCCGGTGACTACTAGTCACATGTGTCATGTCATCAAAATTCGTGATTTCGAAAATTTCTGGCGAACTCAACCAAATGCTAATGAGAAACTGGTGATTTTGTGATTTGGGAAAATTGGTCATTAGCCGAAAAATGTGAATTTGATTTCTTGAGTCTAGGTGAGAGCACAAATGAGCTACGATTCTTGGTTTCTATAGGCACACAAGTCTCCATAACTTCTGAAAATATAATTTTGTGGTACAAGGCAGAATGAAATTAAGAATTTAGTTTTTGTTTATTCTTTCTCGTTTTACTATACAAATTATGTATGTGTCAGATAGCTGACATAGGACACCTGAAAATAAAACTAAATCAGAAATTCTATACATTTTGGCTCTATCAGATCTTATTCGTTGTTATTCTTGTTATATTCAGATAGTTATTCGCTATTTTATACTTACTCTTAGAATTGAAATTCATTTTTCAAATATTTTTTCAATGTTTTTTTTTAAATTTTTGAATTTTTCCTCCGCTTGGATGTTTTTTGAAAATTCGGAAAAAAACATTTGAAGAATACCTACAACATGGAATTTAATTTAATTCTGAGTATGACACAATAAGTTTCCTGCTATGAAATGCCCTAGAAGTTAAGAAAATCGTCTCCGAAATTTGCTGATTTTCACTAGAAAGGCGATTTTTAGTACCGAAACTGATATACCGTGAAACCTGTATTAGAAGGGCCCTCCGAGAGGGGCTCGGAAAAATAAAAAGGCCCCCTGTAATAGAAGGGCTCTTGTAATAGAAGGGCCCTCTGTCAAAAAATACCACCATCAAAATGTGTTTTGAAATTATAAAATTTCCGTACGTTTTCTATGAAAAATATTTCAGAAAATACGTAATTTAATAGAAATTTGCTAAAACAATATTTTTTCAATATAAAACTTGCAATATTGGTGAAATTGAGAGAATTTAATGAATTTTGAACGAAAGTTTGATGAATTTATCGATAAAAAATTTCGGGAAAAAGTGCCGGAAAAATAGAAAGGCCTTCCAGAGGTACCTTGGAACTTTAGAAGGGCCGGCCCTTCTAATACAGGTTTTACGGAAACTTGGTTGAAAGAGGCTAGTGGATTCTAAAATTTTCTGAGGTGACTAGATAGGATATTCTCAATTTATGCGGAATTTTTATCAACCCAATGTGAGTTTACAAGGTGTTAAGGTTCCTTTATAAATCAGGTATTGCATACATTCCGGCCCTATCATGAAAATTGAAGCTTATTTTTATGCTATTCTGTATTCAATTTCTCAACTTTTGAATCGCGGATTATCCAATCCTTATACTCCTTATTCACCTCTATCCGACCACTATTTTTATGCCGTCAGTTTATATTCACCTTGATAATCTGATCTAGCAGCTTATCACACTCACAAACCAAAAATCAATTCACCAACATATGTAATACCTCAGTTTCAGTTTTCTCCACCAACCCTTCTTTTTTTTTGTTTATCTTGATTCTTTTAGCACCCACAATTTTTCACCCGTCGTCGTTTTCCTTTTTTCATTACTCTCCCCTCTAACTTTATCCATTTCTGATCTACATATATCCATCTTGTCATAACATCAATCCTCCCTGTTTTCAAATTCAGATGCATTGTCCTGTCTTTTTCGATCTTGTGCTCTCCTTCATTTTCCAAAAATGTCATCTCGTGTCGTTTTGTCTTCGGTGTGTCTATGCTCCTTCTTGCCTCGATCCATATCAAAACCCACAATTGCTTGCTCCCTCTTTCACAACATATATTTATAACACAAGTTAATGCGTTTTGTGCCCACCGAAGATATCTGCGTCTCGATTTTTCTTCCCTGCCCCCCCCCCCCCTCCCCTTTTATCTGATGAAGTCGTTTTGACAATTTCGTCGCCTTTTTTTGGTTTTCTTGTTCTCTCCTCTCATCAGAGCCATGTGGTGCAGAATAAAAAAGTGCACACGAGCGGAGGGGACGCTTTCAATTTTCATTTCGTCTTCCAATCCTCCCTCCGCCCACTTTTCACCATACTTTACCAGATTAAGGAGGTCTCGTCTTGCTTTTCATCTTGTATGTTTGAATTTGATCTACGAATCTCTTGTGGATTAGCTTTTTTCAAGGTGTCGGAGATAAGAAAAATGCGAAATTAAGGGAGCAAGATTTCACATGTACAAATATATATTTCATTACGAAAACTGGAAGTGTGCTTCTCTAAATGAATACATTTTTTCAAAGCTTTTTGAATTATCTCCAAATACTTTTCATAAGCATTATTTCTTTTTTTTCATTTAATTCATTTTTTTTTCTTTTCTTCTTTTTTTCTTACAGAATTCACAGCTGGTACAGCTTGTCACTGTTCCACCGGCTGTAAACTAGAGTGTAATAAATCATCCTTTCCGAAGTTTCTATTTTGTTGATTTACTGAATTGATATATTTAACTCAGAGTTACAGTACTGGTCAATAAATCAAACAAAAACATATGTTTTAGTTGATTTTAATTTATTTCAGCCATGTTCAACAGTCTGGAGCTTCATTGTCAAGTTTTCGATCACTTTGAAATTTTGGTGGGTGTAAAACAAACCTATATTAAAAACGTTTCATTTATAGTATTTTTTTTGAAAATTCCTAGTTTTTCAGCTATCTGCCGATACCCGAATGACACTTTTTTTGAACAAAAATTGAGCTGAAATTGGGTGTCTTTCAGAAATAGGCAAATAGCTGGAAGACTAGGTATTTTCGAAAAAATTCTGTGGTAGCAAAGTTTTCAACCTAGAGTTTTCCATCCTCCAAAATTCTCAAAATGATCGAAAACTAAACAGCCCAGCTACAGATCCGTAAAAATGGCCAGAATGGCCAGAAGTTTAGTGAAACATTCGTTTTTATATATCTTATTGACCTGTGTTGTATATCAGAACATCAGTTTTGCGCACTATTCAAGTATGAAAATCTCAAACTACAATATTAGTATTATCTCTTCGTATATGTTTTTTTCGTTTCAGTCTACAAGTTTTTTATCTCTTGTCTTTTTCGTTGATTCTATGTGCTTTCGTTTGAACAAAAAACACAATTTTCTTCTTAATCTCTTATTTTTTGAACTTTACTGATATCCAGATTTTTTTCCTATCAAAACGTTATCCTCCACCAACACCTTCCTTCTCTTCTAAAAAGTTAAAACCTTTTTTATCATCATTCTAGCCTAATGATGGCTTGTGTGTAACCTAAATTTCTCGCTTTCTTTTTCTTTTTCTATTTTATTTGTGATATCCGTGGAAACTCGTGGGAGTTGTTGTCACAGCTTCACACCCAGATAGCGCAGAGTGGTACGGAGCATAAATGACGAGTGCTTTTCAACAAATTTCCAAAACTCAGTCATCATTTTTTCGAAGGCGGTGTCTTTATCTTACCCATGTACAACAAAAAATAAAGAGACAAACAAGTGGCTCTAAAAATTGAGGGGATGGTTATGTTGCACCTATTGGTGGCAGCTTGTGTGTGACTTGTTTGTTTGGATACTGTGTGTTTGAAAATTGTTACTGTGTTTAGTTTGATAATTTGATTGAGGAGAGAGATAATTCTGACTTGCGCTCTTAGTCTTTTTCGTATTCTGCTGATATAAAAAAATTAGAAAGTCGCATCACAGTAATTCTCCTTTTATGTTATTGCTCCGTTTGCACATAAATTCTGACACTTGCTCCCCCCCCCCCCCCTCTTTCTGACTCCTAAAATTCCTAATTAATTTCCACCTCTTTTCGTATTTGCTCCCGCATTGTGTGCATATCTAAACAGTTTGAATTTTTCATGCGCTTTTCAGACAGGATGAGTGATGAGAGTAATGATGACCCGAATCGTCACATTTCGTCTGCCGATAAGAAATGTTCCAGAGAAAGTAACACTTCTGGGGCAGGTGGGTCCAGTATTGAAATCGAAAGGGACTGGAGTTAGAAAACTCGTTTAATACAGTCCGGTCAATATCTATACGACACCCCCTATTTTGGGCGCACAGAAAAAACTGGAAGGGTAACCAGAAAACGGTAAACGCCATTCGATTCACAATTAAAATTGACCACGGGAGTCAAAGTTTCACATTGTTACCATGTTTCTTGGCCGCGTACCATCCCCAAAAACCCAGAATATGACGAAAATGTCTGAAAATATTTTTTTCTAAAACTGGATTGGAGGAATCAGTTTTTGTATAAACTATCAAAATATGTTGTTTTAGGACTATTTTAACAGCTTCCATCAAAAAACGTTCAAATTTGCTCTCTGAAAAACATGAGATTTTTCATTTTTCCAAGGTGTCGTATAGATATTGACCGCTTGCATATTCGTATTTCGGATAGTACGCGGCCAAGAAAAATGGTAACAATGTGAAACTTTCCTGCCCGTGGTTATTTTTGATTGTGAATCGAATGGCGTTGACCGTTTTTTGGTATCCCTTCCAATTTTTTCTGTG